CCGCCCGGTGGGCAGCTGCCGGCTGACGGGTGAGAGCCCGGCACGCGGGGACTGGCGGCAGCAGCACCCTGTGCTGGCGGGATGAGCTCCCGCGGTCCAGGCTGCAAGGCTGGGGACCCAACTGTGGGGATGCTTGCCATTTTTCTTGAAGCTTTCCCTTCTGATCGGGATTGGAGGGTGGGTTTGCGTCCACACTGAGATTTCCTGCCCACCGTAGGGCCAGGGCGGCTCGAGGTGGGGAAGGCAGCAAGCCAGGAGGTGGGAAGGGGCTCTTCTTTGGGTTTCCCTTATTCCCTTCCCCAATTAGGCAAGAATCTCTCTATCCTGGGCAGCCTGGGGGTGGTTCGAAGCCCCATGAGTTGCTTGGGACGGATCGAAATGGGATTGGGGCAGGCTGGGGGCTGAGGCCATGTGTCACACAGCCAGATCCGAGGGGGCGGCGGGCAAGGTGGGCCGGCTGGAGAAGGGCAGCCCGGGCCACTCCAGCGAGGTGATCAGCCCCGAGATCCTCAAGATGCGGGCGGCACTCTTCTGCATCTTCACCTACCTGGACACCAAGACGCTGCTGCGGGCGGCCGAGGTGTGCAAGGACTGGAAGTTCGTGGCCCGGCACCCAGCCGTGTGGACGCGGGTGCTGCTGGAGAATGCCAGGGTGTCTTCGAAGGTAACAAGGTGCAAGGATGTAGAGGGCATTGCCCCGGGGGTGAAGCAGCCTCGCTCCCTGCCAGTTTCCTGCATCCCCATCTGTGGAGGGCTGGGCATGCAATGGTTTCATCCTTCCAGAAGATGAAGTAGGCTGTGTGCATGCTTGCATGTGTTGAGTGTGCACGCATGTGCTCCTGTGTGTTCCCGTGTGTTATAGCCACATGAATGGCAATGCAGAGGTGTGGGCTCACGTGGGTTTTGCATGTTCGTGCATGTATGCTTGTCCGCACCTGCTCATGTGTGCATGCATTTTCACATGCTGGTGTGTTCGCACATGGTTGTGTGTTTACATGTGTCACTGCACATGCATGTGCGGCTCTGTACGTGCCACGTACACGTGCAAACCCATGTACAAAGAATGGCTGGGGGGGGGGGGGGTGGGTAGGGTGCAGACCTTTCGGAGATAGCCAAGGATGGGCGACATGGGTCATTGCTGAAGCCATCCCTCCTGCTGATGGGCACCCTCTGTCCCCACCCAGTTCCTGGCCATGTTGTCGCAGTGGTGCACCCAGACGCACTCCCTCACTCTCCAAAACCTCAAGCCACGCCAGCGCGGGAAGAAGGAAAGCAAGGAGGATTACATGAAGAGCACACGGTGAGTCCTCGGGCACCAGCCAGGTGCTTCCTTCCTTCCTCAGCCAGCGCCACTCACCTTTAGCATCCTGGTTCAGTGCTGCAGTGCCATGGGTGCCTGGCATCCCATTCACCGCTCCACAGCAGGATGCTGATAATATCCTAGCTCCTGCTCTGCTACGGCAGCTCCAGCACCAGAATTTTGGGGACCGGTGTCCCAGAGCCCCATTCCCAGGCATGGGACACATCATCCCATCTGCACGTGGAGATCCCAAAACACAGTCCTTCCTTAGCCCGCATATGCACATAGACTAGCTCAAGTTCAGGGAGTCTGCAGGGGCGTGCAGCGATTTGAGGAAGCCAGGCCCTTTGGAAGTGGGGGACTTGGCATGGTGCAGACAAGAGGCTCAGCTGGTCCTGGGTCAACAGGGCAGCAGAAAGGCCCCTTGCAGCCAGGCATTTAGCCAGATGTGGGCCAAAAATAACTCAGGATGCCAAGGGCCTCTCTAAGGAGCTGTGGGTTTTTTTGCCCTATCCCCTGGGAATCAGCCCAATCCTGCCTTTGCCTGACCCTGCTTCTGCCCTTGGCAGGGGCTGCCTTGAAGCCGGGCTGGAGTCGCTGCTGAAGGCCACGGGCAGCAACCTGCTGATCCTCCGCATCTCTCACTGCCCCAATGTCCTGACGGACCGCTCGCTCTGGCTGGCCAGCTGCTACTGCCGGGCCCTGCAGGCTGTCACGTACCGGTAAGGATGGGCGCTGCGGTCCCACCACGCCGGCGGGGAGTGGGCCAGGAGCTGGGCCCAGTGACAGCTGCCTGGGGACACTGTCACCCCAGGGTCACATTGTGCCAAGGCAGCAGGAAAAGCCTCAGGGCACTGGTTGCATACTGGGCATCTGGCAATGGTCGGGTCCATGTGCTGGACACAGGCATCCAGGAGTCAGCCCAGTTTCTGCTGAAGTTCATAAAGGACTCGCTCGCTCTTTGCTAATTTAAAACCAAATGAAGTGAGCACAGCCTGGCGTCAGGCAAGGTCATCCTGGCAATGAGCGACTGGGGAGGCAGGCAGTTGACCGACGGTCTCTGTGGCAGGGGGGGGGGGGCTGGCGTCAGGCAAGGTCATCCTGGCAATGAGCGACTGGGGAGGCAGGCAGTTGACCGACGGTCTCTGTGGCAGGGCTGCAGCATCGAATGCTGTAGCTACAGGCAGCGAGTAAGCCCAAGAGCTCATCTAGAGGACAAGAGGGCCAAGAACTTCCTGAACAGCGAATGGAGCAAAGCCCAACATGAGACCTCCTGGGAGGGGAAGGGGATATTTGTTTAGCTGGAGGCATCTCAGCCAGTCCTACTCTCTCAGCCTGTACAGCAGCACGTGTCCATGTGGCCTGGCCATCACTTGGGTGCAACACCAATTGCACCAGTGTTGAGTCCTCCCTGCGTCTATTGAGGTCCTCCTGACTGGTGACAACAGATTTTTAGGCAAGTCTTTTATACCCTTTGGACATCTCACGAGAAGGCTCTGCCTCTTGTGGAGATAGGTTTTAGCTTTCTTTCGCGCTGTGGTGACCTCCCCAGCCAGAGGAGCAGAGCTGCCAGCTGCAAACCCATCCTGGAGCAGGTACCAACAGAGACTTGCCAAGAAGGAAGTCTGTGTCACAGCAGAGGTGGGACAAAGCCGGTCCCTAACCACTGGGCTGTTCTTCCTTCTGCTCTTTGTGCTCAGGGAAGAGTATCCTTGCTCTGCTGTGCCTTGCGGGTGACAGAGCACTGCTGCAGAGGGGGAAATCAGTTCCCAGTGGGAGCTCATTTGTGCTAGGGTTTGATCTGGGCTTCCTCCGGGTGCTGAGCAGAGGAAAGGGCAACACCGTGCTATCATCGCACTGATTGCACCAGGCAATCAGGGAGGGAGCAGCCCTGGACTCTGGCTTTGCCAGATGGCTGGCACCTTCACCTCCTTCACCTTGCCAACCTGGAGGGTGTCTGATGAAGATGTATCTGCTCAGGCTTTGAGCTTGGTGTGCTGGCAAAGCAAAACCTGTCCTGGCCAGGCTCTGCAGGAACAGAGGCTGGGAGAGGTAGGAGAGATGTGCAGAGGAAGGAAGGAACTGGGACCACCACCGTGTCCTTCAGTTGCCAAGTTTCCCTCTGCTAGAGTTTCCCAAGCCAAGGGCTGCTCAGTAGGACAGCTCGGGACTTGCTTTCCAGGCAATTCAGCCTCAGCATCCCACTTTTGATGCTACAATCCCCAAAAAGACCAGACTGCATCATCTGGGTTTCTCCTTGTCTGGCCCAGAGCAGACAGTCCTTCAGGTGGGCAAGTGCGAGGCCAGAGATGGCCTCACTCCAGGCGTGCAACAAGGTCCTCCATGTCGGACAAAGCGTGCCTGACCACGGCTCCTTGTGCCTCCCCACGCCACAGGGCAGGCCTGTACCACTGGGTTTAACCTGGCAACTTGTCCATGCCCCCTTCCAAGGGCTGAGCAAGCCCAAATGCTCCCAGCGCCTCTCTAACTGTGACTGTGACTCACATGCTCTAATTAACCAGGATACTTGTAAGGCAGGCATTTTCGGTGAAGATGTGTGAAACACTCACAGTAACACCCATCACTTATTTTTAGGCTTGCCTGAAGTTTTGAACTAGGTCATTGCTAGTTAGTAAGCATGCCTCGGTCTTCAGGAGGGGGTCCAGTGTGGCAGAGAGGCCTGGGGCCACCATCAGCAGTTCGATCTGGGCTGGTAGTGTTAGGACGATGTCGCTGTTTGACCTGTCTCCTCTGTTGACTTGATGGAGAGAGCCGACAGCTTCAGAGGCAGCTCCTCCAAGCCAGTGACACAGCCAGATGGGGAGGCAGCATGGCTGCACGGGTTCAGCTCTGTGCCTGACAGTAAACCTCGGCTTGCACTGTGCCATTGCGTGAATCCAGCAGTATCCCTTGAGAGTTCAGATACCTCCAAAAATACCAATCATCCCTTGCTCCAGGAAGAGCTCACAGTAAAGCCTTGCAGGGACATCCAACCAACAGCTGCCTGTGGATGAGGTGGTCCAATCACAGGGCCGATGCAGAGGCCCTGGAGAAGACAGTGCTCTTGGCTAGAAGTTACCTCCCACCAGCTGAAACATCATGACCACCTCCTTGCACCTTCCCAGACCAGGCCAGGCAGGTAGAAAGTGAGACTACCTCGCTGGGATTCACGGGGACGTTATATTCATTTTGCAAGGGAACGCAGCCTCGGCAGCCTCAGTTCAATCACTTGCAGCCGTCCAAGCCCATCCTGAGCACTGTGTGACTAATGTGCCATCTCTGAACCTGGAAGACTCTGCCCTGCCTTCATCTTCAACCTCAGCATCAACCTCAACTTCAACAGCAGTCTCTTCCTTTTTTCTTGACATGGCGTATCTGTAGGCACAATTCCAGATGGAAATGCCTTTAGCCTTCCTCCTGTGTATGCTGGTGTTGGGACTGTCTGGTTCACAGGCAATGATCAGGTCGTAAATAATGACCAGGTTTGTACCTCCAGGTGTGGAGAGATATGGTGGCACGGAAGCTGCAGACACAGCCACTGGCACGGCACACAGCCAGCAGGCACTACCACGTGTCCTCTGTGTCGTTCCAGGAGCTCTACAGACCCTGTGGGTCATGAAGTCATCTGGGCCCTGGGAGCAGGTTGCAGAGACATCATCTCTCTCCAGGTCGCACCTCTGCATCCTTGGTAAGAGTCACTCACAGCACCTACCAGGCTAGAAGGGGGCCAGGCTAAGCATGAGGGGCACCACTGGACTGGAGAGAAATAAGGTGCCAAATCCAGATTTCCTGGTGGAGTCCTCCTGAGTTGAGTAGCAATCCTGGAGGTCAGTTAGGAGGACTGAGAGCTCGGCCTCATCCCGCGCTGCAAAGGCTGAAAACTGTTGTATGCAGCCACGTTCCTGCCAAGCTGGGAATGCTGCTAACATCAGAGATGAAAGGGGAGCTGTGATAACTCTGCTAGGCAAGTCTGAACATCAAATGCTTTTCTAAGCCCTTCACTGCTTATATAACAGCAGTCCTGAAGAGCCTAGGTGTTTTTAAAAGGGTATTGAGTTGCTGTTTAGGAGACGGCTGCAGTTTCTCTTACTTTGTAAGAGCATTTTGGGCATGAAGACACTGGAGGTTTCCCACTCTGCAGCATCTCTAAGCGCTAATGAAGTCATGGCTTAGGTAACGTCATGAAGAGGCTGGATGAGAAATCAGAGCAGGTCACTCATGTCGAGGAGCTGCCTCCTGGGCTTTTTTTTTTTTTTTTTAAAAAAAAAAAGAATTGTTTCAATTTCATGTCCTCCTTCAGCCTGCAGGTCCATAGCTAAGGGACAGCATTGATGGATCGAGGTATATGGAAGGGCATATCTCTCAGCAGGAGAAGTTGGATGTTGAGTCACTGGCAGCTTGTTCCCTTCCCCAGGCAGCACATGTAGGGCGTTGATGCTGTGTCTCTCCAGCTGTGAGCATGTACTTGTGCTGTTTGCTTATAATGGGGTGTAGGAGACATTCTCTCCAGGGTTCTGGGGACCTTAAAACAAGTACGTGCTCCAGTTGCCTGCCAGTGAGTGGGACACGGAGAAAGCATGCCCTGGTGTTGCTGTTTGGTGGAGATCAGCCCATCATGCTAGACATCCACATGTAGGCGTAGACATCCAAGCTAGAAGTCCAACCTCCTACTATAAGTTTGATCACTGCAGGTCAAACCTGCACTCAGTTCTCCAAAAGCAGATGTTATGGGGGGAGAGGGACTCTGCTGAGTGCACTGACCTGTCCTGCCCCAGCTGTAAGAGTCCAGTATAATTGCTCAGATGGAGATGCCTGCTTTAGAGACGCTCCCTAGTAGCGTGATGACCCCGGGTTGGTGGGAGTGGCAGCCCCTGTGACGCCGGTGAGGAGCTCCAACCCTGCTCCACTCAAGGGAGCACGGTGTGGCGTGGAGCCATAGCAGGAGCCAAGGTCATTTACCAGCTCTCCCCTGCTCTTTCTTCTTCATCTCCCCAGCCAGCAGCCAACACGTTTCAGCAACCGTTGTCTTCAGATGATCGGCCGATGCTGGCCGCACCTGCGGGCACTGGGTGTCGGAGGGGCAGGCTGTGGTGTCCAGGGACTGGCATCCTTAGGTAGGTGCCGCCAGGAGCTCTCCTCTGATGGGGCAGGGAGAAAGGGACCTTGCTAGGGGCAGAGTAGATCCCTGGGAGATCCCGTGGGGAACTCAAAGGACAATCCCATCCCAAAGACCATGGCAGAGGCCCTGCCCCTCCACGTGCTGCCACCCTAGCCCTCCCAGCACCGTCAGCTCTCCCCATCAGCTGTTCCCATCAGCTCTCCCCATTCCCTCCCCACGGGGTGAGGCAAAGGAGCCCCATCCCCTCTGATGGTGCGTGCTCTGTCTCTCCAGCCCGAAACTGCATGCGGCTGCAGGTCCTGGAGCTGGACCACGTGGCGGAGATCAACCAGGAGGTTGCAGCAGAAGTGTGTAGAGAAGGGCTTAAGGGGCTGGAGATGCTTGTGCTGACCTCCACACCAGTCACCCCCAAAGCCCTGCTGCACTTCAACAGTGAGTAGTGATGCCTGGGGGTGATGCATCTGTGCAAGGGAAGACATCTCCGGTGCAGAGGGTCCTATGACAGAGGGGAGGGTGACCAAAAAGCCAGCAGGTACTCAGATCCTTGAACCAGACCCTGCCTTCCAGTTCCACCAGAACCCCGTGCTGATACTGGGAGCTGATGGGAGGTGCTGGGATCTCTGTGGTGGAAGGTTTCCAAGGGCAGATTCAGCACCGCCCCCCTGCCCCCCTCACTCCCTGCCAGGGATGAGTTAAGAAGAGCTGTTCTTACCCTGTGACACGGGGATGAGCGAGACACTCCCTCTAGGCTTCCCCCAGTCCAATCTATGCCACAACATCTGTGGCATACCCTAGATTCACCTTGGCACATCTGAGTTTGGAGTCGCTCATGTTTGGAGTTTACTGAAGCCATTTGCCGGACAGGAGCTCCTCCTGGGAGGAGTCTGAAGCTGATAGGAGGGTCTGTTTGATGCGCCGTCCCTGGCAGTTGCGGCACACAAAACTGTTGTTGAACTTGCTGGGAACCTTCCCCTCTGAGTAGAAGTGCAGTGGTTTCCCAGGGAAGAGGTAGGATGACCGAATGGGGTGAGGCAACTAGAGACCATCCCATAGACCGCTATCCTCCTATGAAGGGCTCAGTCACCAAGAGCAGGTCTCCTCCATCTTCAGAGTGAGGTTTCCCCAAATACTTAAGGCCTTGAGGAGCATTCTAGGGAGGGTTTTAGGGTCATGCACCCTTGGCCCCACTGCGGGGAGGCTGTTCCTCCCCCAAGTATGGCAGGCCAGACGATGTCTCTGCCTCCAGGTGTGTGCCGGAGCCTGAAGTCCATCGTTGTGCAGGTGGGCATTGTGGACTACTTCAAGGAACCCCACAGCCCTGAAGCCAAGAAGATGTTTGAAGAAATGGTGAACAAACTCCAGGTGAAGTATGCCAGTGCCAGCTCACTGTGTCCCCCCTGGGGCTCTCAGGACAAATTCTTGCCATCTGCCAAAGTCACTCGGTAGAGAACATTTTAGCTTGCCAGAGACATCTTGAAACCTGGCTTTCTTTCAGACATGTATGTCCTGAAGGCTAAACCAAGATCTAATGGGTTGTGATTCCCTCCTATTGCTTTTACCAAGATTGCTTCTCTCATGTCTATTCCCCATGGATAGAAAAGGGCTGATGCCTCCCTCCCAGGGTAATTTACTTTACTAACATTATAGAGTGATTTAAAATCCACCCATGAAAGCCCAAGTAAGGTTAACTTTAGTTACTTAATGCTGGCTGCGCAGCGTGGCAGACCTTGCTTGGCTTGTGACACCTGGCAGGGGATTCAGCTCTCCTTGTTCTGGGCAAGGTTTTCAAGGCAGACATCGCCAGCCATGGTCAAGGAGAAAAAGAGGTGTCTCCATTTCACTTCATCCTCTGGCTGACTTCGCCCTACAGTTGGTTAGGCTCCTACAAGGTTGCAGCTCCCTGCACAAAGGACATGCAAGAGCCAAGCGATATCTTCCTAGGGAACAGGGCAGAGGTAGCTGGTAGTATGCCCAAGAGTAGGACATCTCTGAGCCTTCCTCAGTGAGATTAAGCACGAGTGAGGAAGTCAAATGGGAACTTCCTTCCTTCTCCACACCACCCCCCTCCCCATGTCAGCTGGTCTCTGGGGAAAGAGAAGTTAAGAAGAGAAGATTTGCCCAAGGTGAGGAGCAGGGTTAAGAGGCTTAAGAAGAAATGCCCTCGAGACGTAGAGAAGAAACTGGGAATGGTGGCTCACTGACACAGCCAATGGCTCCCCTAGCTCCTGCCACCGACTTCTCAGCCTCCCACCATGAGACCTGGCACTGGAGCGGTAGCAGGGCCGGAAGTGAGCCATGCCCATTTCCAGCTGCTGGCTTAGGGTCACCTTCAGAGAAGAGGAGTTTCAGAAGGGCCTTCCTTGAGCGGCCACCCATTTCCGCTCTGTGCAGGTTTCGCTTGCCCAGCTCTGCATACCAACATCTTCAGCCCCAAACTATTATCACCTTCTTGAAATAGTATTTTTGACAGAACAGAAACCAAAATCCAGAGCTGGCTTTAGAGGCACAGGACTAACAGGAGCAGAGCCAGTCCCACAAAGAAAGGGACATAGGTGGTGGGGATGAGATTAGTATGGACCTCTAACTGGTCATTGGTGGCATTTGAGGTGTTTTCCTCCCTTTCTCGCTCTTCCCATGGGGCAGCAGCACTCCTTGGTCCCCTGCTTACCTCCTCCCCTCTGCTCCTCTTCCAGGCCCTGAGGAAAAGACCTGGCTTCTCAAAGATTTTACACATCAAAGTGGAAGGAGGCTGTTAGACCTTCAGGGAACCACAAAGCACATTCCCTCTTCTGCCCGACGGAGCCAGTGGCCCAGCAAAACCAAACTGACCGTCCGCCGTTCATCTGTTCTGGACCCAGAGCCACAGAGACGCCGGCCCATGCACAAAAAATGACTCTTGCAGGCCTTAATGACTGGCAGCCAGTGCTCTTCCGGGGCTGGCTCGCGGACATGTCGCGGGCGAGAAGGTGCTACTTAAGGAAATTTTTAGACTGCCCGAGCGGACACAGCTACTCTCTTTCGCAGGAGGGAGAACGGCTTCGAACCCCATGGCTGCTCATTGCCAAGGATCCCTGTTTGGGCAATGTCTTTTTCTTTGAACAATTTTTTTTTCGGGTTGTTTGTTGTCATGGGAGCCAAGGTGATGACTCAGCCCGTAGCCTGTCCCTGGGGCTCTCACCATGCCCTCCAACCACGCAGGGCATTCCTATTGTCTCCACTGATGTGGAGAAGCCTGCGAATGGTTGAACGCCTGAGTCGGTGGCTCTTTGCAGAGGGCGCGCTGGGCTCAACGCCGGTGTTTCACAGAGCTCCTTGCATATCCTTTCATGGAGTCATGGCTGGACGAGCCCTGTCCCCTCCATGGGACGGTGGAAGTGGGGTGGGAAGGGGCCATCCCTAAAGAGGAGACAGTACACAGCATATTTTCCGCTTGCTTTCTTTTTATTTACCTGTTTCTTTAGAAGGGGGGCACCCAAACGTGGGTGAATACTGCCCAGAAACCAGCAGCCATGACAGCGCAACCACAGACTGCAGACCTCCTTCTTCTCGGGGACTGCAGGAGCCAGCTGGTACCAGGAGAGATGGTTGCTCTTCCAGGGGCCTCCAGCCTCACCTCCTTTTCACCTAATCCTTCCCACTAAGGCAATAAACCATCTCCAGAAAACCCATTGTCCACCGGGAAACACGGGTAATGCTTCTGTCTTCATGAACATCCACCTTCAGCTCAAACCCCCTCCAGAGTGAATTGTCCTCTGCTGAGAGAGGAACTTGCGCAGGCAGAAAAAAGCGTGCAAGACAGGAGTGTCGCTACTCAAAACACTGGTGTTCAGCCATCTTGTAGCCCATCTCCCAGCTTGGAGCAGAAATCCTGGCCAAACTGTTCCAAAATCCAAAGCTGCTTCTTTCACCAACCTGCTGTGTTGAACTGCAGATCTCTTATCTGCAGCCATGGCTTTTTATTAGTTCTTTTTTTCCCTTTTGGCTACCTTATTCCTGGAGGGAAGTCAGCCCTCCCCATACCCCCTTCTTTTTCCAAAGGAAAAGGCTCTTGACAGGCATCCAGCAAGTTCAAATGTTTCCATCCTCCACCCTGAGGAGAAGATGCCAGGAGGTGCCCAGGCCGTAGGGGACCCCATCACAGCACTGCCAGCAGCAGGGACGCACCAGCCTTAAACATAGCCCCTGGTTACACAGCGCTGTTGAGATCAAGGGCAAGTACCTGACCCAACCAGACATGCTCGGCCCCAACACGCTCAGCAGAGAAGAGTCAAAAGGGGAAAGCAGATCTGGGCGGATGCGTCCTCCACTCTGGGCTCTCCGGGCCATCGTCCTGGATTTTGGTGCCTGTAGGCCAACTGGAGCTGCGCTGCGGCACATCCACGGCTGCCAGGGACCAGCCTTTCCTGGGGCGTCTCCTCTCCCTCCAGCCTCTGCGACATTGTCGTGGGGCATCCCCTGGGCTGGAGAGAGCACCTTGGGGCAGGAGAGCAGGGCCACAGGCCAACGTGGTAACACCTTCCTCATCCATATCAAGACAGCTGCAGACTCAGCTGGTGGGTCCTCCATGCAGAGCACCACAGAAACAGATCCAAAAGGCCTCCAGCACCGGCACTCAAACCTGAGATGTCCTGTCCTTCGAGAGCCCCCAGCAGCTCCCATTCTGGTGACAGCCCCAATAGAAAAAAAAAGCCTAAAACCCCGATCCCAGGGAGCAAGCCGGGCTGCTGGGTCAGCTGGAGGCAGCTCCTGGATCTCCAACCGCAGCAAGTATCTCAGAAGACCATTTCATCCACCCCTCGTCCTGTCCAAGCTGCCTCCTCCAAAGCAGGGTAGGGTTGCACACGGCTTTTTTGCCGTAACCCATGATTCAAAGCACCTCTGCTCCCCCTCCGACCGCAGCTTTCCAGGAGAAGGCTGCTTCCCATATGCCCAAAACACAGCCGGTGGGAGCCTGAAAAGCCGCCTCGAAAAAACTCCCATGTCCCACTCTCCCTCAAGGGCAACGCCAGGAGGGAGCTCGCCTCCGTATGCAGAGACCCAAAACTGTCACGCCACTGGACACCATCATCTTACCTCCATCCTGGGACTGGGAGGGAAGGTGGGACGGGCACGAATCCACGGGGAAAAGCAAGAAGGGAGCAAAAACCAGCAAAAAGCAGAGCAAACCTGCAATCTCCGGGAGGAAACCACCCAGCATCCCAGTGCCACATCTGCCACCTTCCCATGAGAAAGGCCCGCTGCTGCGAGGGCTTCAGCCTGGGGATGTCCCCTTTGCACCGGCACAGAGACTTGCAAGATTACCTTAAAAGAAACAAAGTAAGCATTTATTTCCGTAAAAAAAAAAAAGAAGAGATTTTAATGAAAAAAAAATTATATACTCAGCATGTTTATACACTATGCTTAAAGACTATCGTGTTGGAGAGCCCCATCTGAAGACTGAAGGTGTCTGCTCCAGATTTGCTGCTAGTTCGAAGACGTCCCTGTCCCTCCCACAGCGCCGAGAGCCAGCCGCGGCGCCCATCTCTCCTCTGGGCTGTGGGAAAGATGAGGACAGGGTGGTAGAAATGGGGAAAAAAGGTGTTGAGGACTCTTGGAGAAACGTTCGTTGTTGGCCGGCGAGGCCAGAGCGGCTGTTTGTGTCGTCAGTGGAAGTTTCTGCTTGTGATCGCGGTGGCGTGGAGCCGTAGGTGTGTGATTAGTCCGTGTGTGACGCCTCCCCATGTCATCCCTCCCCACGAGGGTGTTGTAAACCCTGGTGGGACAATGTCACCCAAATTCAGTACTTCGGTGCATCCTCGTGCCTGCTCCGAGACCGGACAGAGCCATCCACCTCCCAGACATTGGCCTTTCGCTCCAAAACAAAGCCAAACCTCCAGCTTAGAAAAAAAAAACAAATTCAATCCACGTTTTACAAAAATAATCCTGTGCAATGGAATGAGACCCTGAGTGGTTTCCAAGCACTGAAGATGAAAAGTGTTTTTTTTTCCCCCTTTTGCTCAGTATGAATCATGCATCAGGCTGCCCAGTGAAGCAGCAGTGGGACGTGCAACGCTCAGAGCCGGTGTCACAGAGCGGAAACCTGGTGGTGCTGGACTGAGGCCGGGACCGATTCGGCTGCTGGCCCGAAAGCGCACTGGTGCCAGTCCCAAGGGCAGGGAAGTTCACTAAATGAACAGAAAACATTTTTTTTCCCCATCCAGGTTATTTTTCTGCTGATTCAGAAAGCCTGCTTGGTTCATGCACCTCCACACCAGCCCCTGGTCCAACCAAGCCCATCCTTCAGCAGACAAAGCCGACATCTGCTCTAGCACCTGCGAGAAATCCTTCCCCAGCTGGGTGTGAGCAGCTCAACCCACCCAGGCTGGTTCCTTCCTCCTCCTCCTCCTCAGCCGGGGATGAAGGTGTCAGTGCAGAAACAGGAGCCCAGGCAGCACGCACAGCCCTGACATGGTGATACGGACTCAGCGACATGCAAGAGATGCTGGCAGTAATAAGGGCCCAGTATCTCACCGGTGTCCCCTCCCCTCTCCTGGCGCCTCCTAATTGGCCTCGTTGTTAATGGCAACGAGCTCATTAAGGGCGCTGTGTTTCTTCAGCTGAAATGTCATATTGATCGTTTTCCTGCTGGCCCCTGGGGTGAGCTGGGGCTGCAGTGAGCTCCTGAGCAGTCGTTCTTCTGCCAGTGGGAGCCTCGGCATGTCCCTGTCCAACAGGGGTGGCCCTGTGGGTGCCGAGGTGGCCCGCGGAAACCTCCCTTTGCCCTGATTCTGGGTGCTCATCCAACGCTGCCTCATATCCATAGGATTCACTGCTCAGTCCAAGGGTTTCAGTCCAATTTCCTCTGGAAATGAGGGCAACATGCCCATGCTGTGCATGTGGTCTCCTTTCCCAAGAACATATAAACCTGCTGGGTGATTTTAGCTAAATTCGTTGGTGAGGGAACAGGCAGAGATATCAAGTGCCCCAGAAGCAATGTGCAATCAAGCAGCGGAAGAGGGTGCCTGTAGGGCAGGGACTGCTGCAGTGCAACCTCAGCCCCATACTAGACACCAGAGAAGCCACACCAGGCATCACCCATGACAATCCACACTGCAATGCTACCAAAATCCAGGGCACATCTGCCCAGCCAGGGGGCAAGCGTCCACCAAGAGCTGGTTTCACTCGTGGTGCTGCGGTCCCCAGCGGCACCCACTGCCC